AAATCACTGCTAAATTAGTCAAACTGCACAAATGGATTTGCTAAATGTAAGAAATGTTGAAGAGGGCTGACCAGGTTTGTTGACTTGTTGCACTGTTGTGAAGTTTTCACACAATTGCAAATCAAATTTCAAATGAAAATTCATTTTTTGCTTTATTTTTCTTGCACTTTTGTGCGGAAATACTGTTCTTAGACTCAATCAGTTAGCTACATGTAATCACATATAATCCATTCTGATTAAGATAGCCATATTCCAAAGTCGACATCTGACTAGTGATTTAAGATGGCGTGATGGCGATGGCAGTAGTCCTCTGGTCACTCTGCAGTCTCTGACTTTTTTTTTACTACTTTTACTTTTTCCGAATTTCCTGAAGGAAACTTGAAGGATTAATAAAGTTCTATCTATTGAATTAAAATGTATTTAATTTATATTGCTGACCAAATCCCTGTTTAACAAGGCTGTTGTAGTTTTTTGCCTTGATTTCACAGTACAGTGAGTAGTGACCTCAGACATTCCTTTTCCAAAGAAATTGTCTCTACAAGCTTGATGAATGTACAGGAAAAGAGGAGAAATACATGCCAGATGTCGGATCAGCAGAAGAAAAATGTGGAAAAATAAAAGGCAAAGCACTTACATCTTCATCAAGAGCACATTCCCAGTTCATTTGGTTATCATTAGAGTGGATTCACCAATCATATGAAAAAGCTTTTTTTTTTCATCCTGACAAGACTTAACTGCAGAAAATTTCCCATCAACCCCTTGTATTTTTTATTTGGATGTTTGAATACACACAACTCTACTACAAGATATATACATTTTTATATACATTTTATGATTTGATGCAAATCATAAAATGTAATACAATTAATTCTATAATTAAATTGGAGTCAGAAATGATTTTCAATTTCACATTTAAATATAACAAATAATGGCCATTTTTTCTGTCTTGCCACAATTCATGTGTTTGTGTTCAATGTCCAGTTTGTTTTTTGTGCTAAACTGCTGCTCTACACATGCACTGCATCCTTTCAGTGGTTATTATCAAAGATAACTATATTCAGACATTCACATAACTGCAAACCCTTTGGAAGATTCTTCTTATGAACTGCTGTGAGAGAAACTGAGCCTAGACAACTTAGGCATGATGATCTCTCTTTGTTGAAAGTTAATTAATTCATGGGTTTATAAGTAATTCATGGATTCATACTTCAAACTTTTGATGTGGTTGAATTTTTTTTTTAATTCTGTTAGATAGTTAGAGGGAGGGGATTTGGATTAAATGCTGGAAAAGCCAAAGAAAATTCCAGCTGTGTTTCTTTTGGAACAAAACACTCTTTGACTCAAAGGATTACTAATGGGATTTTGGAATAAAGTAAATAATTTATCCAAAATGTGAGTAGGTTTAGTTGAACTTCTTTTTCCTGCGTTCCTTTGGTCTTGGGTATTGACTAAAAAATGTTAAGTCACCAGTTATGAGCAGAGAAACTCTTCAGTTTTTAATCAGATTAATCACACTGTAGCTTTGCTAAGATCAATATCAACCAAGAATTATCCAGGTCAATCGACATTCCTAAGTATAATTTTCTTTTCTTTTATACAAAAATTTTCTTTTTGTATATTGTTAGAACAGAAAGATCAATAACAGCAGATGTGTGTGTTTCACAGCTGTTCTATATGTGACTGTTCCAGATGACAAGAAAAATATACAATAGTAAAACTCACATCACACATCGAGAGTTGTTTTCAAAATGTTGGTGAACTCCTAGTCAACAGACAACATCTTCAGGTTAGTCTATTCGCTGAGCCAGCGTAGGATTCTTCCACATTCCTCTCCTGGAAAACATGACAACATGACGGAACCAGAGAAAAGTGAGCAGCTGTGAATCCGAAGTGTTCCTGAGGTGGAGGTCTGGTGAGCTGCATTAGGTGTAGGAAAGCTAAACAGTTAACGCCGAAACACAATGAAGTAATGGAGAAAGTAGGCAGTGGGATGTGAATGAGCTAGAATGTATGAAGAAGGAAGTGTGGGGGGGGCAGTCTGGTCGGGGGGGGACTGGATGAAAATAAGTCTCTGGTTTCTTTTCTCCAAGGGACTGTAATATTTGGAAAGTTTTGTCATAAAATATTAATGTAAATGATTGTTTTAGTTGTCTTTCCCACAATGATGTTTTTTTTGGTTTATTCTGAAAACCTTCTTTTTGGTCATTTTTATTGAATTATAATTTTTGGAGCAGTGGCTGTTTTTATATAATATATTTGTGTGTGTGTGTCTGATGTTTTAAGGTTTATTCATTGGGAATGAATGTGATGTCAGTGAAGTGTTTTTAAAAAGGAGTATTTCTGCATATATATATTTATATATGTATATGTATAAGTGGCGCTTTGGCCCTGTCTCTGTCATTGGTGTGGAACCCCAGGGTTCAAGTTCGAATCCCGGTCAGGACGGTTGGTACCTTCCAGTGGACTCACCACC